CTTTTTTTTTTCTCCCTCTCTCTGACACCAATTTGTTACGCCTCTGGTTGTTTGTTAATTTTCCGTAGAAATTCTTTCCGAAAATCTTCAGCAATACAAGTCCTTTCTTAAATAAAACTAGTTTATTCTTTCCAATGCACTTTGCAATACACTTAATTCCCACAGTCAGTTAACTTAAACAAACGCTATAATTCACAACGATCGATTCACGCGCTTGACTCAATTGTCTGTCTCTATCTTTGTTTGCAATTCAATTCCATTATTGCCATCACTTCTTGGCGGTCTTATATACAAGAATACTGCATATCCAGTAAACACTCGAGCATTCACGAACCTTCGAGAATATCATGACGTGTTAATAGCGTCGCGTGACTTCCGCTGTCGTAACACTATACATACAGTTATTTCTTCCATATATTGTCAGTCTTCTGAACATTGAAATATATATTATATCACCACAATATATAGGATTTATTTTGCCCTATAAAAGCCAGTTTTCTTTCAACCTTGGTATAGATATATGTTAAATAGCTCATTGAAACACCAATAATAAACCATGTATGAGTTGACATGAAATGTTGGTTAGTTAAATAACAAAGGCCCTACTTGAAACTTCACATCAGTACAAATTTTGTTAAGATATCACAAGAACTGATGATGTTATTGCAAATTTAGTGATTTAGGATGGAGCTGTTTTGGTGAAATTTTTGACAAGGGTACCTGTAGATATCCATGTTAAATAATATGTCAAAACAGGTTAATTATTTCACAACCATTTTTTTGGACTTAGAAGATACTAATACATCACAAAAATATATTTGTGCCTTGTTCTACCAAAGAGAACTTCAAACAATGAAATATTATAAATAGTGTTAGGGTATAAATTCAAAAAAATCATGTGCAGAAATGACATATTTCATCACAATGCCAGATTACTCATATGAATAATGTAAATTATACCTTTGTGCTTTTTTCTGTGTTTTTTATTTTTAGTATTTTTAATTGTTTTTGAAACAGAATATTTTTTTTAAATTTTGCAACTGAAAATGTTATGAAAATACAAAATTAAATTTAATAATTATTTTAAGTTGTTTGATTGGTTGTTTTTAAGCACATATTTGCACAATGGACTAGCTGTGCTCTGCCCACAGTAGGTATTGAAACTTGGTGTTTAGCATCTCAATCTTGCAGACTTTCTACTGAACCATTGGGGGGGGG